ACAAAGCTGAGGCCTGATCTGAGCCCCAATTTATGAGTAATTGCAATGGGAATCAGACCATCTGGAGGAAAACTCAGAGCATAAAATTGGACTGTCCACTGAAGGGACTGTCCATCAGCACCAAGCAAAGAATAAGATAGAGTCCAGATGAGAGCCTATGATCTGACCAGTCAGCTTCCGGTCTCCACCCTTTCTCTTCCTCCATATCATCTCATCTGTGTTAATCAATCAAGGCATTCAACCATAGCAGGCCATTTCCCCCAAGATATGTTCTTGCTCTGTTAAGTCCTTCCTTCCGTTCTTCCTTCCTTTCTTCCTTTCTTCCTTCCTTCCTTTTTCTTCTCCTTTCCTTTTTTTCTTCTTTTTAGTTTTTTCTCTATTCCTACTCTCACCTTTTTACCATATTATATTCTTCCCCCTTTCCCTTTTCCCTATATCTGCTCTGGTTTGCAGGATCTATATTATCTGACAGTGCATAATTATTTCTCTCTTCAGTCTCCCTTTGGCAAAACACCTTTCACTTTTCCTGCCCTACAGATTTTCATATTCATGTCCTCCTCCTTCTATGTCTCTCTATCATTATGCAATGAATTGATAGCTCTCAACTTGTACCCTCTTTCAGTTGCTAATATATTAATACACAGTTCTATCATCCACAAAATAAATCATCTTTAAAGAGAGACTTTTGTATATTGAAGTACTAGTCTGTTTTCATAGGTCTGCTCCTAGACAGTGATTGCTGTTACAGTGGATAGATAAGGATAAAATCTAGTACCCTGAACACCAATCTTACAAAAAAAAAATTGGCACCTCAACTCTATTACAACAAACTATCTTCAAAACATTGCAAATATTTCCACTCAGTGCTTAAAGATAACTGAAAAAATTTTAAATCCAATTAAAAAAACTGCAAGTAACATTGATAAGGACAATCTATCTTATATAAAGTATACTAACCATAGTAGGAGTGATGAGCAAAGGGGTCAAGACCAACCTGGTGAAACTCACAGAAAAAGCTGACCTGAACAAGGGGGGTGGGCTCTTGGTTCCCAGACTGATATCTGGGAAATCAGCTTGGGACTGATCCAGACCCCAGGGATATGGGTGCCAGTAAGGGGGCCTGGGAAATCTATGGGGCCTCTTGTAGTAGATCAGTACTAATCCCTAGCATAAGAATGGACTTTGGGAGCCAATTCCACATAGAGGGATATTCCCTGAGCCTAGACACACGAAGAACGGTCAAGGCCCTATCTCAAAGGGTATGACAGACTCTGAAGATCCCCTATGGAAGGCCTCACCCTCCCTGGGGAGTAGAAAGGGTATAGGATAGGTAGGGTGGTAGTTGGGGGAGCAGAGTAGGAAAGGAGGGAGAGGGAACTGGGATTGGAAAACAACTTGATAGACAATAAACCTCTGCAGAACCATATGTTCAGCTTTAATCTTGTTCCCCTGAAGAAAGAAAGAAAGAAAGAAGAAAAAAGAATAAATACATGCCCCTGCAAGAATAATGACAAATCTGTCCAAAGAAATAGTTACTGACTGAATTCCAAAAGAGACCAAATGTTTGAATGAAATCAGGATGTCAATTCAGGGTACAAAAGAAAAATTAAATAAAGATCAAGAAATAGTGTAGAAAGCACAAACCAAATACTGAAAAATTACACTGAGAATGAAAAATTCATTAAGCGCAACCAATAGTTCAATGAAAACTGTCACCAACAGAATGGATCATAAGGAGAACAGAGGGCAAGGCATCCAAACAATGTAGAGTAATTGTTTCATTGTCTTAAGGATGTGTGTGTGTGTGTGTGTGTGTGTGTGTGTGTGTGTGTGTGTGTCTGTGTCTGTGTGTGTCTGTGTCTGTGTGTGTCTGTCTAAAGTTTTATAAATGGGGGCAGGCAAAATATTTAGGAGACTTTTTCTCGGGGAAATATGGAGGTGCAATATTCCATACAAAGGTATGCAAAATATTTCAAAACTCATAGCAGAAAAAATTTCAATCTAATGAAAGGAAATCCCATTCAAAACAAGAGCCATATACAAAAAGGACCAGAGAGGAAAATGACCATGTGATGTCACTTTTAAAACACCAAGTATACAAAATATGTGTGTTAGGAGGTCTAAGAGAAAGAGTCAAGTCACATATGAAGCTCAATTGATCCTAACAACAGACGACTCTCCACAGAAACATTTAAAACTAGTGCAACACGGAAGTATATAACACAAGTTCTGAACTACTATACATGCCAATCCATAGTAAACATACAGAAAAAAATTGATTTGCCAGTATAACTTTAGGCTTCCCAGTGTCTATATTATATTATAATGAGGATTTTTACTCATTTGAAAAGTAAATGTAAGAACACAACTGCAAAAGTATTATGTTTTCTCTTTTAGAAGAATATGATTGTTAAGTGTTTTTCACTTGTGAGAGTGTGGCAGAAGGGTCTTATAACTGTCAACTCTGAAGTTAGGACTGAAGAGATAATCCTGGTAGTCCAGTGGCTTTTCAGCCCCGCTCTGTTTTTATGTGAAGAAGCACCAATCTTTCTGATAAAATAAAGTCATCTACATTAGAGTTGTCGTTGGAAATCTTTAGTCAGAACCCAGAAAATGACCCTTGCAGGGAGAAATCTTGTGTAGAGGTACTGCTGACCTTGCCCGCTTGGGTGTGGTAAGAGTGATGTAGCAAGGGTTTAAGTAAAAGGGAGGCCAACTCTGAGATCTCTCTTTTCTCTTTCCCACCTGGCTGAGCAGACTAGGAGGCATCTTGTGCAAACCTGGTCACTGGATAACTTTCATGAGTACTATTACTTAATAAACTACCTCTTATCAATATAGTTCCAACTCCACATTGCATTTGGCTTTAGACCATTTTTAAAAGGAAAATTTTAGGACTCAGGCATTATGCTGGCCTGCCCCTATTACCTGGCAGAATGCACTCAGGCAGTACTGTGGTCAATCCAGAGTTCCTTAAATATGTAGTCTGCAGGCACGTGAATAGGACCCCTTTAAAAGACAGATCCCACCAATTCTCTGCCCTCTTCTTTCTTTCCTGCTGTTCCCCTGGGGCAGACAGGACTTTTTCTGTCTGCCTCTTCTCTTCTTCTGTCTCTGTGTCTCTTTACCTCTTTTCTCTTTTCTTCCCCTCCCTCCCCTTTCTAATAAAACTTCTCACTTAAGCTCTGTCTGCCTGGCCTGTTTGTCCCCCAACTTGGTCATCCCCACCTGCCATGGAATCCCCCAAGTGTCCCCTCAAGCTTTATTATAATAGAAACCAAGACCTCTCTATTATATTTTCATGCCTCATGAAAGGTTGTTTTGAAAACAAAATATTCCAAGTGATCTGCTTGGCAAGAAAGTTCAAGTTTCTTGTCCTAAAATCTAATATCCCAATTCGGAGACAAGTAGCAAGAAATCTTCTGCCAGAGTCAAGGAAAGCAAAAGTTTTAATTACAACTTTCTTGAAAATACGAAATCATGGTGAATTATTTCCTTAATCAGTTTTAAAATGTAAAACTTCACTATATTTCATTTTGAAACTTCATTTGCATCTCTTAGAGTGTGAATATTTTCTCATTGATAATTTGATTTGAAACACGGCTAAGTTGAGTGAATCATCTTCCCCTGAGCCTCTTGTTCCATTTCACAGATCCGTATGAAAGCTCCCGGCACCATTTTTGAGTCTTTATGTTCTCTGGTTCCTTGCGCATCCTGCTCTCGAAATGGGTCTTCCTAAAAATATGGCTATGACATTTTTCTTGTATCAGAAATATTTCTCATTTTATCATTTTTGTGCAAAACCCTTTACCTTCCATTCCAGGCTTTTCATCATATCAAGGTCTACTTTGCATAAAAATTCTGTCACTATTATCTGCAAATTGAACTCCCCAAAAAATGATCCAGTGAGCTCATCAATACTATTTTTGGAGAGCATTTTCCATACTTCTCTGGCTGCATAAATGTTCCTGTCTGCCTTTATCATCTCCCCTTTAAGATATGTCCCACAAATGACATGCTGCATAAGAAGTCGCTGATCATATCCATGTAAGGATGTCTACCCCTTCCTATTGATGCCAATTGCCTGGGCAATACCCATCAACTTCATGTTTCTTTAGGTTCATTTGGATTTCTTTAATCAAATACTGAAATGCTTTATGTTTTCCATGTGCATATATTGTCCATTAAACTATCCATTTCCTAAAATTCTTTTTAACTTTTAACTCATACAATAGGCTAGTAAATTGTACTTTGGAAGAATTAAATTAATGACTCTTGATTCAGAGACTTCTGAATGAAGAAAATGAGAGCCAAAATTATGATAGGAGATTACTCAATCATCTGTTGGTATAGTATTATGTTATTATTCTATTTTTACTCATGTTATTTTATTATTTCATTGGATAGTCCTAAGACTATTTCATACTGGTTTAGGCAGAGTGTATGCATGTGAGGTTTAAAAAATATCACATTTATTACTACATTTGTATTCATAAATTAAATTAAGTATGTCTTTAAGTTTCTTTAAAGATATTTGCTACTTAGAGAGCAAGGTTGCACACTTCCATTTTAATTGGTAGAATAAGAAACATTGAATAATAATTTGATGGCAATAAGGATGCTGGTACTTTTATTGGAATAAAAAGTTCTGTAATGAGAACCAAATACTGCAGAATTCTTTGACATCCTGTTAAACCTTATAATGTACCATGAAGTCTATAAACGCATCATTGTAATTCTACAGTTTGCCATAAAAGGGAATGATATCATCTATTTACTTACTATAGTGTTTAAAAATCTAGTAGATTTCAAAGACATATTAGTATACAGGAATGGGAAAATCATGGAAATTAATGTCACTGATATGATAAAATTATCAAATATTTTAAAGGAATAAGAAGAACACGAGATCTACTTAACACTATGAAACATACTAGATGTAGCTTTTTAAAGGCCTTTATCACTGAGCACTTGGATGTTAATGTCACAATGTCACTTACCATCTTTCAGGATGGTTTCTCGCTCTGTGCCATCTATCTTCTGCCGGCCAATTAGGAAACTGGTGGTGTCAGCAAAGTAGATATAATTAGTTTCTGCATGAAAATCTAAAGCACGAGGGTTTACCAGATTTTCTATGGGGATCATGCATTCATCAGCTATCTTGGTATTCAGGTCCATTCCTCTAACAATTCCTGGGCGTCCTTTCCCATAAAAGAGGAACAATTCATTCTTTGGCCCTGCAGAAGAAAGATTACAAACATAAACAACCCATGCCGCCTAATCTTCTTTACACTGCAGAATGTCACTGTTTAATTAACTGGCACAATTAGACTTTTTTAAAATTCAATACTAGAAATTAAACTACAAAATATGCCAAACGGATCTTGATGCAAGAAGGCCAGCTAATTGCATTACTTTAATTAAACCAGAAATTACTTCACTGAATGGGTTATATTTAGTTAATTATTCTTCTGTCTGTATAGCAAAAACATGACAGATCATTGAATAACTTGTAACTTGTGAAATGGAAATTTATTAAAATATCCGGTACATTTAATTGTTTAATTCATTACAATCAAGCTAACTCTTTCTGAAGAGCCTATCTATTGGACTCATTACATTTGACAGTGCTGAAAACTTCAGGCCAATTAAAATACTGCAGTGCAGAGCTGCCACATACAGACTACTACAAGTGCTAACAAAAGATACACAGGGTATCAGGGAGATGAACATGAACTTTATTTTGTTCTGCTGTCCAAATAGGTGACTAATATGTATAAGAAAAAATCCGTGCCAGCTGATAGCATGCGTTTACTGCACAGCTTAACTGTAATGCCAAAGGCAGAGATGTTGTCTGCCAAGAAATCTGATGTATAATACAGGCCTCAATAGAAGCAAACAAATAGCCCAAATCTCCAAACAACAAAAACAGCCTCCCATAGCTACTAAAATGCAAAATCACGGTGTTCTTCCTTTTCTTTCCTTTTGTGCTTTCTTTCCTTGTTTTCTTAAAGAAGAATGAGTAATTTAAAGGCAACTTCATCACTCACAAAGAACAATTTCAGTGCCCAGCCCACACCCCATTTTTCTTGCACATCCCTCAAAGGTTGCAACCCTGTAGCTCCCTGCTTGACTTGCAATGCAGTCAACTCACACATGCATTTATTGCTATTATCAAAGGGGGAGGGGGCCTTGCACAACTCTCTAACATTTTGCATTATAACTGGGCTGAGTAAGTTTCATCAGTATCCAAGTCTAGTAGGTAGACAATGCTTCAAAACAGAGGAAGTAGATAAATATCACCTGCCACATGCATTAAACATCTATTCCATAAACTTTGGAGTCATGTGCTAATCAATCTTCTTGTTGGCCTTTGGGGTCCAGGTTCCCACCTTCCAGGTCAGGGTCAGGTCAATCAAGATGCTTCTTGGACTCTTGACTTAAGGGAATCAGTGCAGAGCTGCCACATACAGACTACTACACACACACACACACACACACACACACACACACACAAGAAGCAAAGGTACTAACTGAGTTTGGAATTACAGAAGCCAGTTATTTGGAAACAATTAAAGTACAACTGCTTATGCTACCTCAGAAACCCAGCATTTGCAGAAAGAAACAATGGATCCTAATGTCTAAATCAACTGAAGAATGGATAGAGAAAATATGGTATATTTACACAATAGAGTACTACTCAGCAGAAAACAACAACAACAACAACAACAACAAAAACAATGGAATCTTGAAATTCACAGGCAAATGGATGGAAGTAGAAGAAACCATCCTGAGTGAGGCAACTCAATCCCAAAAATATAAACATGGTATGCACTCACTTCTTTTTTGACTTTTAGACTTATAGCAAAGGATTACCAGTCCTTTGGTAATCCCCACTGCCAGAGGAGCTAGGAAACAAGGAAGAACCCAAACGAAGATTGCATAGAAGGGCATGGGCACAAGAACCCCTGACCAAAGAGGGAGGAGGGATGAGCCAAGAAGCCAAGTCAGGGCTGGAGAAACTGGCAGAAACAGTGGGCCTGACCTACTGATAGCATGGAGACCCTAGTCATAAATCTGGGGACCAAACCAAACCCTCTGAAAGTGGGAGCCAACTAGGAGGCCAAGACCATAGATTGTCTTGCCAGTCTTTTTCCCTAGAGCACAAACGGAATTTGAGAGCCCATCCCTAAGGAGGGGTACTATTTCAGTCCAGATACAGCAAGGAGGGCCTGGTCCCTCCCCCAAATGATTTGACAGACTGTGAAGGTCACCTCTGGAGGACCTCACTATCCCTGGGGACGAGTTGGGCGTGGGCTGGGGGGGGTTGGTAGGGAACATGAGAGGATGGGAGGGCAAGGGAATGGGGGATGGATATGTAAATATGAGTAGTAATTAAAGAATTAAAAAATTAAGAGATTTCAGAAAAATTTGTCCTTAAAATAAACAAGGGCATTTGGCCTAAAAAAAAAATCAGCTGTGGAAAAAAAGTAGCTAGGCCCACCTTCTGTCCATAAACAAAGAAATCCCCTTACCACTTTCCTATTCTGAGATACAAAAACTCCACCTTAAAATATGAATCCACTTTCTTTTGAAATGGGGTCATTGAGTAAGTACTGTGCCCTAATCATGTGGCCAAACTGAAAGATGACAACTCTGTGGTATTAAATAAAGCCTGCTCAATAAAGCCCGCTCAAGCTGTCTGAAGTCCTATAAATTCTCATCTTCGGTTTGTTTTTATTTTCTACAAATATAATTCTTAGATATGCATGCAGTGGATATATATATATCTATTTCAGATGAATTTTGAACTTCATAAATTAATTTTATTCACATTATAGTCAATAGCCATCCTTGGATTATACCATATTGTACATTTCACTGCTGTGTAGTATTTTTCAAATTTAACTTATGTATATATTTTGCAATGCATATTTAATTTTTTGACACATATTCATTAAGGAAAAATGATGAATTCATACCTAAATTTTACCTATATATACAATATAGTTGGATATATTTACCCACTGTTTCTAAACCTTGCCTCCTAGACAACTAAAAGCCTCAATTCCTTTCCTTATAATGAATTTTTAATTATTTAGAAAGGACATTCTGTGTTATACACAATTTCTCCATTATTCTTAGTTTTAAATTATGTTCTGTATTGATTCACTGTATTAAGCCTTACATTTTTCCCATTTACAAACTAAAAAGATTACTGAGCCATTTACATATTGACTTTGTGATGTTATCCTAGCACTGAGATATGATTTTCTTTTTTCTCTATTATTTCACACCTTTATTTAGATGTAATTATAAGATGAGGTATATTAATGACCTTAGCTGTGCTTTCACAATCTCTTGATATCTATCTGATTTCAAAAATATTTTATTATAAAGGAGTATTTTATATGATATAAAAGGAGTGCTGGTTCATTTGAGAGCTTCATTTTTTGAAATTACAAAATAGTTTTGAGCAAAAATTATGTCCATATATTTATTTATCAATAATTATCACCATTAAATTTAAAGACATTTGGTCATATCATTAAAATATCTTAAAAACATTCTTTGTAATGACAGCATAATACTCCATTTTAGTAAGGAAATGGAGCAAACTTTCTATCATAGCATATTTTAATTTACATTATTAATGAATTTGTAATTTATAATGGGTAAACTTGAACTTACATTGTCAGCACATGTCTGTGTGTGACCTTTAAAATTATAAGAATGATACTTACATTTTCTTCAATCTTATTTTGGCATTTCTTCATACCTACTTTATAATTTATAAATTATAATTTATAATTCTCTCTCTCTCTCTTTCTCTCTCTCTCTCTCTGTGTGTGTGTGTTCTATATAGTCAGAATTGAAATTTAATTACAGACTCTAACAAAGCCTGGGTTCTGGTTTTAAGTTTCTAATTCCATTCTACTATTAAAGTGTAGGAAAAGGTCTCTTTATAGTTTCTGTGGATAAACATCTAGTAGAAAACTTATGTGTTTTCATTATAATGTTCTTCAGGCCATTTACCCTTGGGAATAACAAAGAAAAGAGACAGGGCACCTCCACATGAATTGGAAGGGTGGCACACACCATGTCATTCTGGAACTAGCAACCTCATTTCTAGTTTCCTAACCCCCTGACCTCAGCTAAAACTTTCTGTTTTTTTTACATTAACCTTTCCTTCTGTGGATTGCTGTTGCCCTGGCCTTTGATAGTGCCAGGTGGCTGGCTTTCTGCTGGAGGGAGCTTATGGGGTTTGAAATATCAAGAATCAATTTGTGTTAAATCTATTTTTATTTAGTATAGCTAGAATTGTTTTTGGTGATTTATGCACCAAAGGACAAAGTCCATAGGACAATAGTCTAGTTAGTTATGCTATGCAACTGTGCAGACACATTCAGCTTCTATCTGTATGCCTCAAATCTATGACCTCATTTACCCAGACCTTTATCAGGAACCTCAGTCTGGATATCTTAATGTTCCCACCATTTAACTCAAATCCAGAAACACAAATAAATTTTGTATTTTGTTTATTTCTTTTCTTTTACAAATTCATATAATTTTGTTTGAACATAATTATTAAATCACCATGTTGAATCTAAAAAAAAGAAACAAAAAAAATTTCTAGCAACTCACAACCTTAGGAGACTTTTTGATAAATCATTGAAAAGATTGATACTTAATTGGCATTCCTAATGAAACATGAAATAATGAAGTAAATTTGAGTCCCATTTCTACTGTGGGAAGATCTGCATTGGTACAGTATTGCTGCATGTGTTCTACTGTCAGTCAAAGAAGACACTTATTTTAGGGATCATATTGGTTCAGATAAGAGGACAATATAGTCAGCCATGTGTATACTTCCTTGATTTCATGAACCCCATTCAAGAAAATAAAAACTAAGATAGCTTTTCCTTTAAAATTTCCCTTGATAGCTCCTTAAGGTGAGCAAAGTTGGTAGCTCTTCAGCCTGATGAGCATCCCATTCTCATTGCCTAAAAGACAAGTAAATCCTGGCTTGAGAAGGGAAAATGTCTAGTACAGACTTGCTGGCAAATTTCACAGTCTCTTGTTCTTTTTGATGTTGATGCTTCTAAAAAACAAACAAACACCAAACGGCCAAACAAAAAGCAACCTATTGTGAAACAGTGCCTGCTAGCAAAATGTTTTACAACTTACTTTTGCATGACCTGCCATCACTCCCCAAGTTGAAGCCAGTCCTGCAGCGACAGGTCCTTGTCTTATAACTGCTACTGAACAGACAGATGTGTGAACAGCCCCCTGGCAGTCCATATGCATCCAATTCACAGGCATGGCTTCTGACTACAATAGGAAAAAAAAAAGACAAGACAATTATGTGTAAACTTTACAGAGTAAGGACATGGAATCTTAGCAAAATGTATATCTCACTGTTGAGTACAACAGTAACATGGGGATAAATATTAAACCCCATAGAAAGGGGAAAGGATTGACAAAATCTTCTTGGGATACATTTTTTAATTGGTGAAATATTAATGGGCTCATATATATATGCGAATAAAATTAACATGCTTTTCTGTTTTAGAAACAAGCTTTGTTTACTTATTTAAATGACATTAAAGATGAAAGAAATAAACCATAAAAATGAGAGAAAAATAATCCCATTGTAGGGATGTGAGCAAAGTTTCTTCTCTGCCACCATCAGCATATCGGCAGTCACACTGGGAGAGACAGAATTTGGTTAATATCTGAACTATTGAGAAATTCTAAGTCACAACAAATGTTTTTAATATTGGAATCCATTGCTATTGTGAGAGCCCTGATAATAAATAAAGTGTGCGTATGGTTGGAGTTGTAGAAATTTGGAGGCTGAATTTCCCCAAGAAAATTAAGGCATGGAAATATGCTTCATGAATGTTTAGAATTAGAGAGGGACAAAATGGAAAAAAAGACTATGTGAATAAGAAAGATATGGTCAAAGAGAAGAAATACTGTCACTATGTCCTTAAGTCTGGGTATTATTAGAATTACATTTTAGATAGGCTCTTCGTTAAAATTGAGGTGAATATTATGACTAATTTTACAGCTAAATTAGCTGACTTTAAAAATAACAGCTTCTTCTTTGTGTGTCCATCATTTTTCTAAGATGAAAAAAGAATGAGTAAGATGCTCTTTTGGTGAATGCTTTTACTGCTGAGTGATGTCTTAAGGCTTCTATTGTAGCTGGGGTAATAAACAATCCTATCTTCATCATCACTTCCCCTTTAATTTTCATTACCATATTTTCTTTTTTTTTTGTTGGCTCCCAGCATGCAAATGTTCCAGGGTTTACGCATCTTGGAACACAAACAGCATCCCATTGCACTGATTCACCTAAGGTGCATGATTCTCAATGGGCTTTGCTCATTTTCTCTGTTCTGTCAGTCTCCTTCAAACCAGTTTCAATAACATAGTGTCATCAAAATGTCATGGGAGGATGCCAATAAGCTTCACAAAGTCAAGTCAAAAGGTCACTTGGATTTTCTGAACTGCTTTTTGGTGTCATCATTTGACTTTTCCATTCTTGACTTACTGATGATGTGTTCCAATATTAATATTTAAAACTCTTCTCCACATAAATGTATTTCCTTGTTGTTCACAGCTATTGCAATGGTATTAAATACTGCCTCTATGTCAATCATTCCAACTGCTATATCCATCCTGGTCTTCCCCTCCAAACTAATATACATAGTTTTGTGCATGCATGTATCTCTTAATATCTACATTTATATTTATAATAGACACCTGAAATAACCCGTAAGACTGAACTTAGTCTTTACTTCTAAACGGTTTTGTATTGCATTTTTCCAGTATATGCTCTTTCAATTTTTTTAACAGAACAATTACAACCATTTCTGACTCTGTCTTTTTTATCCTATCCAAGATATGTTCACAAAGATCCATAATTTAACTCCTACTTCTCTTTACTTGAGTACTACTGTCTTGGAACAATCTATTTTTCTAATCATCTGCCTCCCTCAACAGCCTGTTGACAGTTCCATACATCTATGGATCATTCATGAAGGCCATAGAGATCACAATATTCTGTTGAATGAGCTGTTATAATTTCTACTTAGTGAAAAATATAAATAAAAAGCTTTATGATAATCTACATGCTCCTACTTGCCACATAATCTATTGTTTTCCAATTTTGTTTCCCCTTTCCTGTCCTTATTTTTCTTCAGACATATGAGCCTCCAGGATTCTCCTCCAGGGCAGTCTAGGCATGCTCTTCCTAAGAGCTTTGAGCTTTTACATATCTGCAAACTGCTTGCTCAAGAGATTACCGTAATTCTCATACTCAATATTATGAGGTATGTATTCAGCAACATATTGCTAGTGAGAACTCTTTTGCCTGTTCAACAAAAAATTGTAACCTCTTCATCCTTGATGCTCTAGATCTTTCTTATCTGTCCTTCTCCTTTGTGGTAGTTATTGTTTGTAATGAAAAAAATAATTAACTTACTCACTCTATATAGTATTGTCTCCAGTAGGACCTAAGTTCCATAAAGACAAAAAATACTTTGCGTTTAGTTTACTAGTACATTCTCAGTTTCCAGAATAAATCTTGGTGCATGGTAATTGTCTGCGAATAAGTAGCAAATACAGAAAACCTAACATCAAATTCTAATAAACTTGTCTGCAAGTTAAAAATTGAATTTGTTTCAAATCTGTTTGATAATACACTGCCTCGGATTCATATGCATTGATGCTTAATAATTATAGGTTAGTTTTAATTTGGAATATAAGTATAGAAAGATGATATCAATCTGGGGTGGTGATATTCTTCTTTAACATAATGTTATATAAATAGGCCTCAATTGGGTTGCTGAGTAGCATTATTTACCCACTATAAAAATAATTATGTTGTGTTTTTGAAAAACTTTAAACTAATGCAGTTATCTTTAAGGTTTTTAATGGACTTTTTAAATATAAAGCTATGGGGACATTAAATCAGGAGAGCTATATCTATAACTAGTAGACACCAGGCAAGTGACACAACAAATAACCTGGTTTGAAATTTGCCTCCAAAAATGATAACAAAATTCAGAAATAAACCTTAGCATCTGAGCTGCCTGTCTACATACATCACAATAGAGAGCTGCTTGCTGAGACCAAATCGAGGCATCATTTCAATCCCATGGTTGTAGAAACGATTTGCTAGGAGCTGAGCAGTTTGTCATTTAGACTTGAGAAGTGAGCTCTATTCTATTCTATCAAGCAGATGCGCACATTTTTGCTGTCAAAACAGAGAATTTATGACACCCTTTTTAACACCACACAAAAGCACAAGGACTATGTTCCCATCACAGCTGCTGTTAGGCAGACCCTTAAGGAGCCCCCATAGCTTACCTGTTGGCTGAGTTCTTTTCTGATAGGTTCGGATTCCTTGAGCACTTTCCATTTTAAATATTGAGTGAATATCGGTTCCATTAAATCTGTTTATTCGCATGATATTAAAGTTATCAGAACTAGTTGCATATAAATAATCTTCAAACACAGTTATGCCATAAAGATGTTTAACCTGAAAGAGAATCAAATATAGCTATGACTTTTAATTATGCTGCTTCAAAAGTGAAAGAAAACTATTATTACAAATGTGAAAAATGTCCAGAGTCAAACAGATATTATCATTTGTTTTCTTTCAAAGAAACATTCCAATCATTTTTATTCTTTTTAGTGAAGGATTGGATACAATAGTGGATAAAATAGTTTTATATGCATGGTAAATAATTATATTCATGTTTCACCAGGAATATATGCTTTATAGTTTCTGTCCAAAACTAGCAAGAACCAGACCTTGAAATGCATTCACTAATATGCTGTGTCAGAATTCATATAATTTGAGACATTTTATTGGATACTTGTTCATATAGTCCTAGTTATTTAGGCACTGCAAAATCATTGCTATGCCCTAATGATCTAAGAAGATAGCAACTTTGAATATATGTTTCATATGGTGAAAGTCACATTTTTGTCTTAAGTTATATTAGGCTACTATTTTATGCAGTGTGGAGAACAGTATAGAAAGAAATCACATATGTGCAATAATGGTGAATAAAATTTCAGCATTTCACTAAAAAAAGTTATGATTTCTAAAACCTATTCATACTGGCAAATTGAATGCAATGATGATGCTTATTGCTATCCATACTTGATAGCAATCTTGACTCTGTGACTCTGTTTTAATAAACATTTGTGTATGGAAGTGAGAATTGAGCGTTTGAAGTTCATAGAAGCTTCCAGTAGGGTAGAAAGTAGACTGACCACTAGTTTTCTGAACTTCTGGGAATGGAGAGTCATGGTTTTCTTAAATTATGCATAATTTGAAATGATTCTGGTCTGGATACCTGGAGTTACTACTGTATGTTATAAGAACTTTTATGAGAACCACTGGTCAATCACCATTCTTAGAGACACTATCCTGAACTCTGTTAAAACACAATGATCTTCAATTGAGAATGGGAGAATGTATGCTTTGTTTGTGAAACTACTCACAAAGATTTGTAAAACTTTCTTAACAAAAATACCTTGCCTAGGATGTAGTTATAGCCTAGATGGACCACTGTAATTCCCTTTGGGGTGTGAGAAAAAGAAAGCTGCCTTTAGTGTTGTTTCAAGAATGTTTCTTTCTTCTTGTCCAGTATAGAAATGAATGACAAGAATTAACACAAAGGTTTGTTCCATGTTAAAGACTCCAAATAACCTTCCATTTTTACATCATAGTAGGTGCATATCCACATTTATATTTTGAGGCAGAAGACATGTGCATTTACCAGTATCATTTATTACACAGCTCATGTCATAGCCAACAAATATACCAATGACCTACTATTAATTTGGTTAAACTTTTTCTCACATTAGAAGGTATAAACAAGCTGCACTGCCCTGTTTTGGTCAGGATTGAGACCCTCCTCATTATTGTATCTGTCATAATATGCTATATTATGACATTCTAATATTGTTTTATATAAGACATCAGTTCACAACCTATAAAAGAACCCATAACTACACGAGACAATTAGCCAGGATATAAAATCTGTTCACATAGCAAAAACTGTTTTATTCAACAGCTCCCACTTTTCTCCATATCAATCTGTTTCCATATATTAAAACTTTTAAAGACTGTATCTATATCAGATTACTTGGTGACAGACTTATCATATGTTTAGGGTGCCCACCAAACACAGGCAACAGAAACAAGAATAAAAGGATAACTAAACATTAAACATTTGAGAGTCTAGCTCAACTGGTAAAGTACTTGCTTTACTAATTTCCATGTTTGCAGAAAGAACTGAGTTCCATTTCAAGAGCTCACACAAAAAGTAGGGAGTTGCAGTTTGAGTTTATCCTCCTAGAACTACGGTGCCAATGACAGGCTCTATATTCTTTGCCCAGCCAACCTATCTAAACTGAAGAGCTCCAGGCCAGCCAGAGAACCTGTCTCAAAAACATGGTAGATGGCACCTGAGGAAGGACACCTAAGGTTAACCTCTGGCCACCATAAATGTACACTTGTAAGGCATCTTGAACGGTGCCAATGACAGGCTCTATATTCTTTGCCCAGCCAACCTATCTAAACCGAAGAGCTCAGGCCAGCCAGAGAACCTGTCTCAAAAACATGGTGGATGGCACCTGAGGAAGGATACCTAAGGTTAACCTCTGGCCATAAATGTACACTTGTAAGGCATCTTGAGTGCCCACCCACAGGGTATAGGGATTTCCCAGCAGGAAAGAGGACTTGCTACATAATCATGAGGATCAGAGTTTAAATCACAGCACTATTCTAACAAGCTAGAAGTCCTGCAAGCACCTGTAACTTCAGCTCTGAGGGATCTGGCTTCCAGTCTCATAGTGCTACCATGAAAACACATGTGCACACTCTACACAAACATAAATAAATAACACAAAATTAATATTCAGGGGGTGGAGAGAAAACTATATATTTAAAAGACATTAGCAATATTAAAGATTTGTTTTAAGATATGTATATATTCACATTTTTGTGTGGATGTGTGCATATAAGTGCAGTGTCCACTGAAGTTAGAAAACAGTGTCAAACTCCTGAACTCAGAAGCTGTGACCAACATAAGTAGGAGCAAGGAGTATTAATCACTAAGCCATCTCTATAGGCCCTTAAAAGTCTTTTGGAGTAATTAAGGAGAGAATAACTTGAATTCCCACTCAATTTTTAATTTTTAATGGCAAATAAATAATATAAAGTATAGCATACTTATCTTAGAAATTAATTACCTAGAAGGGCATAACTAAGGCCAGCCAAAGACACTGTACTCTTTAGGACAGTTGCAGGTATAAGGGAAATAATTGTCCCAACATCAGACAGTTTCCAAGTCAATATTTTCATTTATCAAGGAGAATAAATTTCATTATAAAGATGTTGAGAGAAAGTCATGGTAAAGTATATTACAGAACATGTCTACATCATACTATAACAGAAATCAAATGCATTCAATTATCAACTCTACAGATTCAATGAAAACCTCACAAGAGATTGACATAATAATAAGATCCAGAGAAATATGGGTGAAAATATCAGCAAAAAGTTTATATTAATATATCTATGGAGCATTGTCTGGAAAATAGAAAGGGAAGAACCCTAATGTATAAGCAAGAATATTGAAATTTCTCATTTAGCAAGTACAAAAATGAATCAGCAAAAGTAAGTCTAGCACTATTCAAATAATTAGGATATTTTTGTGAGCACCCATTTGCTTTGTTAGAAAACTATTTTTAATATCCCATGGGACAGATGGTGGTGCAGCTCCATATAAATAAATGGCTTAAATTAGTTTCACAAAGTAGGTCATGACATCTGTCCTGTTCCAGGGAGTCCCTCTCTCTCTTGAGAATACAGCGCTTTTGCATTCCTGGTCTTGCTTTAGTTTGTTTGCTCTTAACAGAGAAAAAAAGAAGCAAGAGGCATCTACAGTGTCATGATTGTGATGGCTAATCTTGCCTGTGAACTTCACTATATCCAGGATCAACTAAAGGATCAACATGTGAGGAATGTTTTTGACAGGATCATTTGAGATGGGAATACTCATGCTAAATCTGGATCATCTTTGGTGGAACAAGCCACCCTAAAATGCTCTCTGAAGGCAGCCCAAATAAAATGACATGAAAGAAGAAAACTTGATTTTGCCTATTTATCATTACATTGGCAGGCAATGCCACCAATTCTGTTGCTGAGGCATTCCCTTACTGATATTAGAACATAGTTCTTTACGATTCCAACATAGAGTGAAAACCAGCAGCTCTCTGTGAGTCCCTCAGGACATCCAGTCTTTACTGGATTCTTTGACTTTCCATTAGGAAACAATTGTTGTACTAACCAGACCACAGATTATAAACCACTATAATAAATTCTCTTTACACACACACACACACACACACACACACACACACACACACACACACACACACTCCACTATATTCTTTTTGAGGACCCTGACAAATTCAATTCAATGGGCATATCCTAGTATCACTGTGACTAGAACATCCTCCTAAATAAAATATGTGCCTTATATTTTTGAGCCATCAAATCTTATCTTTAAGGCATTTTCAATGCTACAATTTTAATCTTTAGAAAAATAACATATGTTTAGTTTATTATGGCAGCTGCATTTTCTAACAAAATTGTACTTACTTGTCTGCCTTGAACAAGAGTATGCCTGTTTTTTCCTTGGTAGTCTACTACTCCCACATAGTCCAAGTAGAGATCTACCCAATAAACCAATCTGTTGATGAGGTCCAATGCCAGGGCGGCTGGCTGCTCTGCCTTAGAATAAACTATCCTTGTTCTGTTCATCCCATCCATGTCACATCTCTCTACTTTGGGAACGTCTCCATAGTCAGTAAAGAAAAGTTTTCTGTTGAAAGAAAAATGCATGTTAATATGAAGGGAGAGAAAGCATATTTGATAGAGCCATCTGTAAAAAGCAGAACTTTCCTGCTAATTTATTTCAGTAGTTACATCTGCTTGCTTTCCATAACCATTTCCATATAATATCAACCATAAACAGAGGAATCTGCTAATGAATATTGCAGGGCATAAGGGAGCAGGTTAAGTAACAACTGTAAAATTTCCTCAAACCCAATGACTGTGATGGGTTTATTTTTGTATCACAGTGTTTCTTAAAGCCTCATAGAGACAGTGCATCCATTCCCATTAAGGACAAGCTACTGCAGCAAGCCAAGTCACCAGGCCAGGGCATGTGAGGCACCAGACAGTATCTCCAACTTGATTTCTGAATTGCTGGTAATATTTGTCTCCTAGAAAACCTATTCTGTGGAGTTCTGCAAGACTGTGAGGAGCAAAGAACAGCAAACCTGGAATGGAATGAAGCAGTGAAAAATTAGGCTAGCTGTTTGCACCACTGGGAATAAAACCTAAATAGCATGATCTCCAGATTTGTTCCAAATGCTTCCCAACTAAGAGAATTGCAAGAAGGAAATGAAGGGCACTTCTCCATTTCTCTTAATATATTTTGAAGAGAATGCTGAAATAGAATGCTGACTTGTGGGAAAAGAAATCTTTTCAAGCAGTTCTGAGACTGCCAAAGGTTGAAATGCACCTGGAACACTTGAGTGTTTAATATTTGATTAGTATTCACAATGTTTAGTAAACACAAATCAATTTCAATTATCCTGACAATAGTTAACAAGATTTCCACTCATGAGACTTAATTGCATTTGTAAAGAGAAGACCATCTCGCCTTGACTTAAATATAATCTCAAGAATAATCTAATTTACAGTGACTGAGCAATATGAAGATTGCCTGGAGTATAGAATATTGGATTTTACAAACTTGGAGAATTAGTTTTTAGTTACTCTTTTTCAACAGTCTTGAATTATCTGGCACAATGGGGTATCTTTCAAGCTAAAAGTAGTATTTAAGCTGTAATTTTAACTTAGTTCTTTCTGCATGGGAAGCTTTTAAACATTAATGTATAGTGTTCTGTACCAATGGGAGCCAGTTTCTTTATGAGTTCTTGAAAGATCATAGTATCTCTCTCAGCAAGTTAAACATTTCAAGTGACAGTCTAGACAGACAGTTTTCTAGTTAGGTGAAGAAGAAATAAAACACAAGAATATAATTGAGCACTCACCTTTTCTCTCTTTTTTCTGTCTTTCCCTCTCTATTCCCTGCACCTATCTAATATCTCCAACTTCCTTGGTCTTAGCTAATTTGACTCTAGCTAAATTTCCACAAGGAGTTCTTTTCTTCTTTTAAGAAAATACACTAAGGAAAAGCATAAGGCACCCAACCTTCAAATATGTTCTAAGGAGAAGCATTTCTGCTATTGTTATTGAAGGTCTATCCCATGGCATAAAGTTTCTTATTTGTCTGTTTTCCATTTCATATTAGTTAATTTCACATAGGTAAAGAGAATTTATTATTATGTATGTACTAAGGGAAGCAGAAGCTGGTAGAACGTGGACTGTGTGATACCAAGGAACTGTTTAGATATGAAGGGAAGCAACATAGCCAAGAAGTTAAGACAGAAGAGCATTGGGTCTTGGGTAAGAGCACCAGGAACTCTTTCAGGGGACTTGGGTTCTCAGAACCCACAGTGCAGTTTACAAACCAGTTCCATGGTATCTAATGACATCTTGTAACCTCCACAGACTCCAGTCAAAGACATGCATGTAGGCAAAACATTTAGACACATAAAGTAAAATAAAATAAATATATCTAAAACACATAGAAAACAAAACAAATGAACAAAAAGAGCAAACACTGGTCTGGAAATTAAGACTTATCTGAAGCCTTTGTTGGATCATATTCAGAAGAAACAAAGAGAGTACAGTGAAGACAAGACACGTGGAGGCCTACTATTATAGAAATAGACAAAAGGAGAATAGAGGACAGAGGAGGTCAGAGAAAACAGACACCATAGATGTCTGAGAGAAAACTTCCAGGAAGGATTAAAATGGTTGGCTGGGCCAAACTTCAGAAATAAATACAAATATATCCTATAAGAGGAGGCCATTGAATTTGATATTTATTAAAGTATAATTAAGCTTGGTACTTCTGATGGAGCACAATTTATTGATATGAATTACGTTATAATGGACAATACATAACCCATTCTTCTATAAGTGTTTCAGTAATACTTAATTATAGTTTCAGGCCATTTACAGATATGTTCAACATCATAATAAGCGTTGTTACAGTAACTCTAGAATAAATTTCACCTGCTCCTGAGAAAAATACACATGTGTGTGT